GAGGTGAAAAACATATAAAGGTGCGGACACACCAAACCGACATAAAGAACTAGCGACGACGAAAGCCAACTGTTGTGTCGTCTACGTCGCCTCACGTCGCCCTGTGTCAGTTGCATTTGAACATACTACACGGATTACATCCGACGGCCAAGTAGCACGTACGTTCTGCGCCTGCGTGAGAGAGAGCGGAGTGAGAGAGTGGTACATCCTGTCAGCCGAGGGGTTTCCTATCTGTGCAGCCGAGCACCGCAGCACCTCCACGGACTATTACATCCAGACGGTCCCGGTGTTTCCTCCGCAGGCTCCACTTCACTCAGCTGCCCGATAAACCCGCTGCTTCTTCCCACTTTAACCTGAATATCAAACCAGGGCTCGGTGCTCCGGTTGGATCCAAACGGAGAGCCAGGGCTAGCTGGGAAGCTAGCAGAGGCTAACTGGCTGTGCTTCCCTCCGTCATGCTGCGGCTAACGCTCCGCTAGCCGCTCCCAGCTAGTTCCGGTTTGTTATTCAGGTTAAAATGTGAAGAAGCAGCGGGTCTGTAAGGCAGCTGAGTGAAGTGGAGCCTGAGGAGGAAGCACCGGTTAGCCCCGGTTTCACTACAGGCAGATTCACTCGCTACAGGGGCGAGGAAATAAAACCTGAACAGCCAATCAGAGTGATCTCTCTCACCAACAAGCTCCGCCGCTGATTCAACATGCTCAATCTGCCGAAAAGCTGCCGCCAACACCAAAGTGCCGATGGTGCAGGACACACTGCAAAAACTAGGCCGACAGACGCTCACTGACGGCCTAACTTTGGTCGACGGCCGACAGTCAGCTTGGTGTGTCAGGGCCTTAAGTCCACACACCAAGTATCTCCTGTTTAGGATTTTAATGCAGAGTGATGTTTCGAGCCACACGGCTCTTCCTCAGACTTCTGATGCATAACAGAAAGATGCCATCTTAAATACTCACATCGTACCGAAGCAACTTTTGAAATATGTATAATGGAAAAATACCAGCACATCCCACATATATATATATATATATATATATAAATAATTTTACAAAATTATCTAGTTAAGTACCCAGTGGTAGGAAACAAAGCAAAGAAACAAAATGACAAGCGACTCCAGCTGTTCCGCTTTTCCATATTTTGACGTATTAAACAGCACTTTAGGGAGCATTATCAGAGCATGCATGGCTGCACGTAACTGGGAATATTAGTGGAATATTTATTTTCATTTGCCATGTAAACAGTTTAGTAGGAATAAGGGGAAGTAATTTGTGCATGTGAATCTCACAAGTCTGATTCTACCTAAACATCTGGGTTTAAAGCTCAGATTAATCTGCTTAAATCAAAGTTTAATCTTAAAATTTTGACCTTTGGCACAGAATCTGGTCTTAAATGTCAGAATTATGACTTTTTTTCCTCTAAAATATCTCACTTTTATTTCAAGAATTAAATCTCAAAATCTTATTTTGTACCTTAAGGTTTAATTTCATTTTCACAATCTCAAAAGTTTTAAATCTTGAATCTGAATTTCTTCTTCTAATTTCTCAGATATATTCAAAATGTCTTATTTCATGGTCCTAACATTTATCTCAAAATCTCAATGATAATTTCATGATTATTCAATTTTTTCATACTTTTATTTTAAGAACAATTGCAGGAATTTGACTTTACAACAAATTATGGATATTTTCAGATTTATTTTTTTTACTTTAAAGTTTGTGTCAGAGACAAAACTCTTAACAACTTCCTCTGTTTCATTTTCTTTCCTCTCATCTGGACAGCGGTGGTCTGATATTTCAAATAAAGAACATTAATTATGTCATTAATAAAGGGTGATGAGGGTCAAACTTTAAAGCATCATCTATAAAAATAAATTTCTCAAACTTCTGACTCCTCTCACATCTAAAGACAATCTAAGTTTTTTGTCACACACTGTAAAATTTCACAGACATTGGGGATCTTGCAGGGTCGATATGTACAAGACTACAACTAGATTCCTTTTGTCAAGATGAGAAATGTACCACAACTCCAGCAAAACTCACTCCAGAAATTCGTCCACGACAATGAAACTGCTTGAGAAGTCATTTGGGGCAGCAGTATGGAGACATTTTGGAGGAGTGTTTGTGAACTGGAGACCTTCACCCATCCTCACACCAGCACAGGGCGGAGTAGATATTGGGTGAGTTGTCATTTTTACAAGACTCTGTATAATAAGTTTCTGCTGATTTTTAGATGGGGTTTTATGATTTTTGTCGCAGCTATGCACCAGGACAACTGTTATTGATGGTGGTTTTTATGTGTCAGGGTTTTTTACAGTCTCTGTGGTCCACTTGGTCATTTAGTCCAGGTTTAACAAGTCTCCGTGCAGTGGTTTCTGAGCCTGACCTGGACTTGCAGTTTGCTGTCTGGCTGGAAAACTGGCAGCGAAATGTTCTAATAAACTGACTCAAAGGTTTCACACATAGAAATAAAGGTTTTAAACAGACTCTGTGTCGATGCAGTCCAGGTTTAATGGTGTCTCATCCAGATCTGAACCTGACAGAAAATAAGCCGGGACATCCTCTGTTTTTGTCTTTTTTCACTAATAAAATACAACCAAATAAAAATTACATAATCTCAAACTCCCTTTTAAGCACACTTTAGAGCAGGGGTGTCAAATATACGGCCCGAGGGTCAACACCGGCTCGCCAAAGGGACCAATCCGGCCCACTACATGACTTTGCACACCTAACACTGAGTACAGCTGTGAAGGCTGAGAGCTGCAGCTTTCAAGATGAAGATAAGTAAGTATCTTACTTTATGTAAATGCTGCTTGAGATCCTTCTCCGCCCCAACCAGAACACAGTTCTCTGAAAATACACTAAATACTTACTGTGGTCATATTAAAGATATTGAACATTGTGCAAAATATCATCAACCAGCAGCTTCAGTACAAAACAATCTGTACCAGACTTGTATTTTAAAACACTTCTGTTGGAGCCGTACAGCTATGATACGGCCATAACTTTAAATATGTAAATGGTTTGTGAGGCAGGTGATATCTTAACCTGCTTCTTCAATAGGTTCCACTTTAGTTTAGTGTGGTGATGCCAGCATTACTACAAAAGAGTGGACAATTATTTAATAAGTAAATCAGCAAAAGTTAATCAACAACTTTTTTAATAATCAAATATTTTGTTTAGTCATTAAAAAATAGAAAATATTTGCAGCCTCTCAGATGTGATGATTAGAATTTTTATGTCACAGAAAAGTGAATTATTTTATTTTAATTTGTTTTTTTAAAATGTATTTTATTTTATTTTATTTATTTATATATTTATTTAGAGTTTTGAAAAGTCACATTTGAAGACGTGACTTTGGTTTTTTTGGGAAATTATAATATTTCAAAAACTATTTTGTTGAATTTAATAGAAAAAAACTATTAATCCAATAGTCTAAGAATATGTATGGAAATGTAATGACAGCGAGTAATTTGGAAAAACTGGGACGGGGGCCGTAGTGGTTCAGTCCATAGGGACCTGGGTTGGGAACCGGAGGGTCGCCGGCTCAAGTCCCTGTCCGGACCAAATGCGAAGCGTAGACTGGTGGCTGGAGAGGTGCCAGCTCACCTCCTGGGCACTGCCCCTGAGCAAGGCACCAAACTGAACCCCAGCTGCTCCAACTGCTCACCCTGACATCTCTCCACTTTGTGCATGTATAGGTCCTGTTTGTGCATGTGTGTGTATTTCGGACCTGTGTGTTAATGACAACGGAGTGAAAAAATTGAATTTCCCCTCAGGAGGATTAATAAAGTATATAAATAAAAAAAATAATAATAAAAGATATCTCGGGTTGCTCATCATCTGTTATTAAACAAATACATGTTTTTAAATACTTGTACTTCTTTATGCTAAAAGAAAATGAAAAATGTGAAGGTTGTTTTCATTATCTAGGTTACTCTACAATGGTTTTATTGGTCCGGCCCACTTGAGATCAAATATGGCTGAATAAGGCACATGAAGTAAAATGAGTCTGACACCCCTGATTTAGAGTCTCTGTGTTAATCCAGCTCCGATTGGACAAGTCTAAGTATGGTGATTGTTTTTTTAAATCTAGACTTAGGCCTCCTCTGATGTGGTCTAGATGGAACAAAAACAGTGAAATCTAGATTTCTAGAGATTTAAAATATCTGAACCTGGATTTTTAAACAATGTGTAGTGTCTCCATGTTGATCTAGTTCAGGTTTGACAAGTCTAAATATAGTAGCTTTTGATGTAGACCTGGATCTATGTGGTTTAGATGGAACAAAATAATAACAACACAAAGATTTAAAATGCCTAAGACTGGGTTTAAAACAATCTTGTTAATCTAGTTTAGATTTGACAGTCTAAGTACGATGCTTTTTATTTATTGTATTTATTTATTTTAATCTAGACCTTGTTTTATGTGGTCTGGATTAAAAAGGACAGTTAAATGTTGATTACTTTCCCTATTTTCTGAAACAAAATATAACTAAACAGAGATTTAAAATGTCTAAAACTGAGTTTTAAACAATCTGTTAAGTCTAAATGTTAATTTAGTTTAGACTCAACAGTCAAAGTATGATGTTTTTTTAAATCTAGTAGGTCTTGGTTTATGTGGTCTGGATAAAAAAAAAAAAATACAGTTAAATTCTCCCTTTTCTGTTTTGACAAACATAATACCACAAAATAAAGTCTGCCCCTTTTTTTCCCACAGACAAAACACATCTAAATTAAGACTTAAAATATCTGAATCTGGTTTTTACACAATCTGTACAGTCTCCATGTTGATCTAGCTCAGGTTTGACAAGTCTAAGTATAGTAATTTTTGATGTAGACCTGGATTTATGTGGTCTAGATGGAGACAGATCAGTCAAATCTGTTTTATATTCTGCTTTTTCACACTGAACAAACCTGAAAATGAGTTTTAAACAGATTAAGACTTTGGCTATGATGCAACTGCTGAGGTGTTGATGCTGTCAGGTGTGTCTCCGGGTCTGGTCTCACCTGTTGAGCTGGCTCCAGGTCCAGGTCCAGGTGTCTGCAGCTCCAGCAGCAGTTTGTCTCTGACCCAGCTGAACTCCTCCAGAGACCGCAGGAACGAGTCAAAGGCCCGGGGCCCGCGGCTCGGCAGGATGTCCAGCAGCTTCAGACACTTCTGTCTGTTGGTGGGCTGAGACTCGACGTCCTCCACCTGAGCCTCCGTTAAAATGTTCTCCTGGTACAGGAACGGAACGATGGTGTCACTGACCAGCAGCTGCCCGGACAGCTCCAGCCGGTATGTCCGCAGCAGAGCTCTGTGGAGCGGGTCCATTTAGAGGAGCTGAGAGTCCGAACTACTCCTGCTAATCACACTTAATTCATCATCAACTAACTTCAGTTTTCATCATTAAAACTAGTCGCCTCACAGCTACAAGTCCCGTCAACTATGGTTTGTTCAATGTTATTGTGTCCGACTAGAAACACGCCACCGGAACCATTGTTTTACTAACGCTGAACGCTTAAATTTCATTTGAGATTTTTTTCACATCTAAAAATCTTTTAATTTAACGCAAGCCTTTAGAAAACAGATTTAATGTAGTAAATAAGTGTGGACCCCTCTTTAATTCGGCATACGTGTAATACACCAAGTATCGCCATTTTGTGGGAAAATCTTAACCTCCTCTCTAATTCCAAGGTGGTGGACAGCAGCTACTAAACAGTGTCACGAATGCGAAAATAACGGTTTTGTATGAAAACAGTGCTGCTTGGTCGATAATATATATATCCCGAATTTACCACAAGAATCTACACTTTCCGCCAGGCTCATCTTTAATATCATATTAAGTATCAATAGTTAACGACTGAAGAGAAATTTTATAACTTTGAGTTTTTTCAATGGCGTTTGGCTGAATGGTCTCCAAACAGCAGACAACGAATCGTGTTTTGGCTAGAGTAATTCAACTGAATTTATATCAACTACATTTCTTATACCTTCACGGTTTCACATTCAGTTTGGCATACATTTAATACACCAAACCCAGCGTATTAAAATACAATTGTTGACTGACGTTATGTCTTATTTGTGCAGTCCTCTTCCCGTCGTGGGCAATGACGTTAGCTAACAAACAGCATGAGCTAATGCTAAAATTAATATTATCATTAATGTGAAGGCTGCTTGTTTAATAACATCTATGCCGAATTCACCAAAAGACTCCTAAAATACCAATAAAGTAAATATTTTTGTTCTACCAGGTGATTATAGTTTTCAAATTATCAATTAATCTTAAACTTCACAGATTTACCTATGGAGTCCGGCTCCATGGTATCCATGCAGCAAACAACATGTGTTGTGGCGAGCACAGTTGAATAGACTTAATGACAGCATAATTTATAAGATTATTAGGAACTAATACTCAACTCGGCGCGCAGTGAATACATCCAATAATATTATTTACATGAAGAACAAATAAGATTTTGTACTGAGTCCCCTGCTTTCACGTTAAGGACAGTGGCTGGCAAACAGTGTGGTTTGCATTAAATTTATTTTTACATGCTGGGTCAAATATATCCCGAATTTACTAGAATTACAGTACTTTACATAAGGGCTCATATTTCTCAGTCTATCTGGTGTTTTTATTTATAGACGAACGAGCTAATCTAGAATTGAATGATTTACGAATGGAGCTCTTCTCTTCCTCCTCTCATCCAAGAGTTCCCCAGGAAACAGTTAGTCGTTCTCATTAATGCTTTGCTGTCACTTAATAATTAACTGTAACTGTAGGTCAGCAGTGTCAAATAGCCTCTCAGTCTTAGCAGCACTAGTTTTATTTGTATTAATGATTTCTGGGTCTTGTAAAACCCAAATATTGTTAGTTATTATCACATTCCTGCTTACCTGGTAGAAGGATCACTGACAGCTGTCATACCTGGCAGGACAATTAATGGCACATATTTTCAGTGTTGGCATCATGATGATATAATGACAACGATATCATAACAAATTCAAAAACAAATCTGTCAAGTTGCTGTTATAATTTGCATCCATGTCTATCAGAACATGGATGCTTCACACTCATCTTCCCCTCGACAGCACAGAGGATCTATACAATCAGCACAAATTCAAGATTCTTAAATTTCTTTCTTGTATTCTATGTTCTATGTTTTTGTTTTGATTGTTCAAACTGTGATAGATGTTTTGACTCTCAACTGCAAAACTAGTTTACCCTTGGGTATCAATAAAGTGACCTGACCTGACCTGAAGATTAGAATCACCAATTCAGTATCTGACCAAATGTCTCCCCTTCTGTCCCTGAGATATGACAGTTTAGTAATGGACAGAAAATGTTTTTTTGCACAACATCATGATGTCACAATGAAGTTGTCCTTTGACCTTTTGGATATAAAATGTCATCATTTTATCCATTCAGACATTTATGTGAAATCTTGTCACAATTAGTGTACAGATTCCTAAGTTATGGCATAAGACATGTTTTGCACAGTCACAGTGACCTTTGACCTTCAACCACCAACTCTAAATCAGTTCATTCTTAAGCCAATGTGGATGTTTGTGCCAAATTTTGGGAAATTCCCTCAAGGCCCTTGAGATATTGAGCTCATGAGGATGAGATGCACACAAGATCACAGCAAACTTGAGCTTTGACCACAAAATTGTAATCAGTTTATTGTTGAGTCAAAGTAGACATTTGTGCCAAATTTGAATTACTTTCCTCAGGGTGTTCTTGAGATTCAGCGTACAAAAAAATGAGATGGAGGAAGTCAAAATGACCTTGACCTTTCACCTTTGATGACTAAAGTCTAATTGGTTCATCCTTCAGCCAAAGTGAGCTTTTGTGCCAAATTTGAAGAAATTCCCTTAAGGTGTTCTTAAGATATTCACGAGAAAGAGAAGGCAACATCTTTAATCACCAAAATCGAATCAGTTTACCCTTGACTCCAAAGTGGGCGTTTGTGCCAAATTTGAAAAAAATCTTTCAAAGCCCTCTTGAGATATTCTGTTCATGAGGATGAGATGGAGGCATGGTCACAGCAACCTTAACTTTTGACCACTAAATTCTAATCAGTTCATCGGTGAGTCAAAGTGGACATTGCCAGTGCCAGTGCCAAATTTGGAGAAATGTCCTCAAGACATTCTTGAGATATTGCTGTCATGAGAATGGGATGGAGGAAGTCAAAATAACCTTGGCCTTTCACCTTTGACGAATAAAGTCTAATCAGATCATCCTTGAGCCAACATGAACGTTGTGCCAAATCGAAGAAATTCCTCAAGACGTTCGAGATATTGCGTTCATGACAAAGAAAAGGCAGTGAGGTCATGCTGTCGTTGACCTTTAACCACCAAAATCTATGTAGTTTATTTTTGATTCCAAGTGGATGTTTATGCCAAATTTGAAAAAAAAAAAAAAATCCCTCAAGGCATTTTTGAGATATTGTGTTCATGAGGATGAGATGGACGGAAGGTCACAGCAACCTTGACCTTTGACCGCAAAATTCTTAGCAATTCATCGCTAAACTGGATGTTTGTGCCAAATCTGGGAAAAAAATCTTAAAGATGTTCTTGAAATATTCATAAGAAGAAGGCAGCAAGGTCACAGTAACCTTGACCTTTGACCACAAAATTCTAATCAGTTTATCCTTGACTCCAAGTGGATGTTTGTGCCAAATTTGAAAAAGAAAATCCCTGAATCCCTGTGTTCTTGAGATACTGCATTCACAAGAATGGATAAATGGATGGACAGACAACCTAAAAACATGTTTCCAGCCGCAGCTATTGCCGACGCGGAGGCATAAAAAACAATTAATGAGGGTGAAAATAAAAAAACAAACATTTTAAATACCTCTGAATAAAACTGAAATGACATCATCATCAAAACCAATAAATACAAATAAACCAGTGCAAATCTGTGCAGTAAATAACAAACACAGCACCATATAAAACTTTATTTATCTCATGAAGCTGATCAACATTACAGAGGCAGAGCTGCGGTGTGGCTTCCCGTCAGCAGACACACCGACGACGGCAGCAACACGCACGCTCTCAGAGTCTGTGCAGCTTCTTTACAAAATAATGTACCAGAAAACACAGTGTGACACAATCAATAAATATCTCTTAAAAATCAAACAGGCCGAGAGCTGCGGGGTTCACGCCACAGCTGTGATATGTACAAAGATCTGCTTATTGTGTTCTGTGTTCAGTAATAAAGATTTATTTCTTCAAAGAGTTTTTAGTTTCATGCACTTTACCACCGTGAAATCGTAGCTGAAGGAGAAAACAAGCGACCCCTCCCCTCTGATGATTAGCCCTCCATACAAAAGTAACGATACAAAGAAGAACATTATGATAGATAATAACAGAAACGTCATGTAGAGTCCACACAGAGTCAGATGCAACAGTGTGAGCATCAAAGCTGTGGACAAACATGTGCAACAAAGTCCCATTTACCTGAGTGACCTCCTGTTACATGACCACAGTATGGATTTAAACTGAGCCTTACAAAACTGTAAGAGACGCCAGAATAGACTGACACGTTTATTCTGATGATTACACGTTAGAGCCAGAGAAACATGCAGGAGAGAGGCAGGTCAAAATTAAAACCAAATAAAATTAAACCAATTTTTTTTTTTGCTGAAATTGATATGCTTAAACAGGAAACTCATTAAACTCTACTTACACAAGTAGCTTCTGTTTCTACAGTGAGAAACATGGATGGGCAACAAACAGCCTGAGCTGAAGTTAAAGTTTTCATGAAATAAAGTGCTACATGATGGATCAAACTTAAACCGAATTTACTGAAAGACCTTTTCAGACATTTTAAAAGAGGCTCACATGTTTCATTCCACCAGCTGTTAATAGTTAACAATCAACAGGGAATCCTAGAAATGTAAGATTTTTTAAATGGGGTTTGGTTGAATGGTTTAAAACTTAAAAACATCTGAATCAAATCAACACTGTAGCCTGATGTGCACCTCCCTGAAATGTAACTCCTCCTGTCTGTCTCTGTAAGCTGAAACCATTTCCCTCAGTGGAAACAAAGCTTTTATTTACTTTAATTTCACAGATAAGAAACAATAAATTGTGAAGACAATAAAGCCTCCACAAAAATAGCATTGCAAGTCTTGTGTGTGATTTATCCTGGCTTCATATGAGCAGAGGAAATCTCTGCTAGCTGCTAGGCTAATTTATACAATGTAAAATGCCATAGGCTTGTGCTAATAACATTAGCATGTTGTATTTGTTTGGAAAATGTGTTTAGTATAAGACAGTTGTTTTGTCAGTGAACCTTGTGAGTTGTAATGGAGCTGAATTTTGTAACGTTACCTTTGTTAAATGTTGCTGTTGTTCCTGGTTTCATATGAGTAGAGGAAAAGTCTACTAGCTGCTAGGCTAATTTAGACAATGTAAAATGCCATAGGCTTGTGCTAAAAACGTTAGCATGTTATATTTGTGAATGGCTTATAGTGAAGCTGATGCCACTAAATCCCCTTAAATCTTGCACAACGTTCCTTTAAAAGAGGCTCACATGTTACGTTCCACCAGGTGTTGGTTGTTAACAATCAACAAGGAATCCTAAAAACTTAAGCTTTGTAAATGGAGTTTGGTTGGATGGTCTCCACAGAACAAAACACAAAAGAGGACAAAACTATCTAAAGCTGTATTTTTGAGGACATGCTGGGACTACAGGGCCTTTGTTTTCTTGTTATCTGATTGGTCCAGAGTCACAGCGTACTACATCCGACAGGGACAAAGTCCAGCAGAAGCCAAGAGAGGTGCCCTATTAAGGCTTTGACTCTGACATGTGTCGGGATGAAAAACAACACGGAGGACGTCGGCTTGTTTGTTACGCTGCTCATCGATCGGGAAACCTCATCCTGCTGCCTCACTGACGTTTGGCCCTCACTGAACCTTTCATGGTCATCACTCAGCCAATCAGAGGGCTTCTTTCCCTGTGTTGAAAACAACAAACTGACTGGAGAGAGGATGATGTAAAGATTTTATGTTTCTGAAACAGGAAATGTTTCACCTTTCTCTTTAAGTTTTTAGTTAATTTCAGCTGATTCACATTTGTGTAACAATTTATTGCACCGGCCTATAATTCCCTTTGTCTTTCATAATGCTATTTTATATTATAACTTAAAGTATTTTGCTGGAAAATGCATATTTTGCTGTATTTACAGGTCCATAATGTCTGAACAATTTCATTAAAATTACTGAGCGAGTGTCTGTGACAGAATGATGTGATTTGGTGATACTTAAAGAAGAAATAGAGATACGAGTCAGTTGAGTCTTTAAGTTTGCAGCTCAGTGTACAATTTAACAAATATGGAAAATAAAGTTTCCAATAATAAATGATTAACAATAAATATTTACTTGGGTTTAAATTGAGCTTTTGTTTCAAGGATACTCTTCAGGTAATCAACAAATGCTTTTAAATGTAACCCAATTAACTAAACTCTAATGTAAAGCTAAAACAATTAGTTCTTTAATTAATTTAATTATTTTTACTTTTCAAGCCACAGAAATGTGAAAGTTAAATTAAATATGGAAAAAATATATAAATAAATTAAATATGTTGCTTTGGGCCATGACACACTCTCTGAAGGTTTACAGACCAAATAATTAATTTAAAAATATAGTAATAAAGAAAGAAAAACACAAAACAGATTCATTTCCACTTCACTGTAGACTAAAGAAGGGATATCAATAGTTAATTTTCCGAAAATATTTTTGACTGATTACACACATTAGTCAAAAGGTTAATTTTGCTGCTTTTCAGTTTTTTTGCACTGCACACCGACCGGGTTTGGTGGGAGCTAGCTTGCTAGCTAGCATCGCAACTCTTTCAGTGGTTACTGCTAGTAACACCGTCCTGACCCAACAGCTTTGCTGAGGAAACGTTGTTCCCGACCTCTGGTCTCCCGCCTGCTCGTCCCAGCGAGTAAATGGCTAAATTTTGACCTGCAAACCTCCTTTAGCATTAGCTGTGTTAGCATTGTCAACTATGACAACGCTAAACGTGAAGCCGCTTACTAGCCATGGCGACCTGAGGGGAGACCAGACGCAATGCTGTCCTACCACCCCACTAACGAGCTCCCACCTGAACTGGATGGTGCTCGGTGCAGAGCGGCCAAAACTAACGTTAGCTTACCACTGGAGACTGGAGGTTGGAGAGTGGGCGCTATGTTTCTGCAGCTAGCTGTCTTTCTGTCTGTCAGCAAAGCCAACAGAATATGAATATACCAACTCTGAAAGCTCACTGAGTATAGGAGGCGCCGTACTAAAAAGAAAGGCTTCTTGTATTTTGCCTTATTTTGAGATTGTTCCTTACAAAAATAACGCGGTTAGTAATCGGGGGTTGGGCTGTCTCTCTGCCAAAATTAGATTTTTTTTTTTTTTTTTTTTTTTTAATGTTGCTCTCTTTTTTATATCTCAGTAAACTGAATATTTTTGGGTTGTGGAACTTTGATCAGAAAAAAAAGACACCCGAAGACAAAATCTCGGGCTGTGTTAAACTACAAACAAGTGTTTTCCTGTCAGTATTTTGTAGTCTTGCATAGCCAAATCTATCTCATAGCCAGAAATACTCGACAATTTCTTGTCTCTAAAATGTTCGTAGGCATGGGTCAAAGTTTCTCCTATCAAGTCTGTTTTTATAGATCACGATTTTTCCTGTGGGAAGTGGCGTTTGCCTCTTTCAGGCTTCATTTTGTGTGTACACCATGCTTATAAATGAAACCAAGGGTTCAGCGAGAGTGCTGTTGCAAAACAGTGTCAAGAGGTAACTTGTTTTGGTGGAGAGGCGAGCGCTGGAATTTGTCACCGATCAGACGGGGTACGTTTTAGCAGCGTGGGGCAGGTTTCTGTAATTGCTTTCAGAGTGAAACGTTTCGCTTGCTGCTTTTGCATTGGTTAGCACCACTTTTTTAGCTCTATGAGCTTTGTGTTCTTGCAGGAGTGCCCTGAACGCCTCAAACTGAAAAAACTTAACTCAGAGCAGTAAAGCGCTCGATGTTATTGCAGTTTTCTTGTCCCGTCAGATAAACTGAGAGACAGGGCTTCTGTGGCAGTGGAGAGTTTAAAGCTAACGTTAGCTCACTTTCCACCAAGCTGCGAGACATATCTGAGCAAACTGTTGCCTCAACTACTTTCTAATGTTTTACAGCTGTAATCAGGCTGGATAACTGACAACAGATCGTCAACCTGCCCCCGATTCATCCTGAAATAAACCTTGAATCGACAATCATTCAGGCGAGGCCCCTGGACCAGCTGGTAGCACTCCTCTTTCTGAGGGTCTGTCCATTTTTAACGCAGAGAACAATGACTCGATAAGAAAATAATGTTTAGTCGCAGCTTTTGTTTGAATATCGGACAATATAATGACCTGGATCTCCAGCGTCTCTGGTGATCACCTGTAGTTTCTAAGTAACTCCAGAGCTGGAATCTGGAAACAGATCAGCATCGTTCTCTGGGTTCAAGTGCAGTCTGTAGATGTGTAAAGGCGTCATGTTGCTAAAGGTATTATTTTAAAGTCACACTGTGGTCAGTTACAGCACCACAGAGCAGTATTGACGGGTCACACAGGTACTTACTGCAGTGTGGTACGTTCAGGAGTACTTCAGGGACTTTGTAAGAAGCCTGACAGAACATCATCAACCAAACATCCTGCTGAGGTTTCCTCCAGCTGTCAGACTCACTGGTTATTGCATGTCCCTGTGTCTTGCTGGGTTCTTGTAGTAGCAGTGCATGATGGGATTGGTCAGTGGTCAGACAGGCATAGCACACGGCTGATGCATTGCACTGGTATAACTCCACGGTGAGCTGTAGTCCTGCTGGGCGCCTACACGTTGTAGGTGTAGTCCGTCAGGTAGTCCTTCAGTCTGTTGGGTAGTGGCAGATCCTGGACCTGCCGCGTCGTCCTGTTGATGGCGATGCGGCAGAGGTGCTGCAGCAACGGCGTGGCAGTGTACACCGGTTTGGTGAGCAGCAGCTGCACCGTGCCGTTGGGCGGCATGGCCGAGGGCTGAGAGTTCGACGCCGCCTTGTCGCTGGTCCTGGACAGCTGGACGTAGTGCTCCACCAGGTGGACCACACTGTCGAACTGCTTCAGCTTCGGCTTCACCAGAACCACCGAGTCCAGCTTGAATTTACCGTGTTTGTACTCTATCCGCAGGTTGGTGGGACCCGCCGACGTCATGGCGGAGATGGTGAACAGGTAATCCCTCTGGGAACTGTCCCGGACCAGGAAGGTCCCCTCTGAGGCGTCCTGGAGGATCTCTTTGGCTTCGTTAGCCGTCAGACTGCCCCAATACCAGCCTGACGCCACAGAGAGACAGGAGAGAAAAACATGAGACACTTATGGACACAGAAACACAAACAAATATTATTCAATCATTAAATCTGAGCTGCGAGCCGATGTAACAGACTGTATACCTCTGGGATAAAGCTGAAGGGACGAGGGCTGCAACTAAGTGTTTGAATTGCATATTGCTGTGTGAGGGCGTACCTGTGTTCTTCAGGTCTTTCATGGCTAAGGCAATGCGGCTCTCGTCTGATTCCACAGCCCTGGAGTTGTTGTCGGCTCGTCTGTCGCTCTCGATGGTGTCTGTGGACTCGGAGGACTGGCAGGTCATTGGATTGATCCAACCTTCAGCCTAGGTTTAGGCCCACAGCTCAGACATGGGAACGGGGTCTGGAGCAGCCCGACGAGACGGGAGGAAGACGCTGCACTGGTCTCTGCGCCAATGTCTGCACCAGTTTATACTGCAGATAAAGAAAAGCCATCAAAAGAGTTCGACTGCCTCCAGACTGCAGCAGAAAAGTAATTTTACTGGAGACTCATCCATTTTTTCTCAAAATAAACTACATTAAACCTCACAGAGAAGAGCTCTTTTTACAAAACATCAGAGTTGTGTGTTAAATTCTGCAAACGTGATTCAAACAGCACAAAATTAAAAACTTTTTAGAAAATTCACTGACATAAAAATGCTAAAAACTCTCTGTGGTGCACTTTCTGCTCTTGACTTAAATATCTTCAGATAAAACGAGACATTTGAAGATTTAACTTTGGACTCAAATGGGCATTTTTTAAAAATGTCAATTGAGAAAATAATCAACAAACAAAATGTCAATTAAAAAAACGTGGTTTTACACCTTCACAGTCAAAACATCAAACACAGTGGACATGACAAAAATATATTAAAAGACATCATATGTCACAAAAACTTAAATATAATTTATCTATTGACACGCGAAAGATGGGTGAAAAAAAAAGCAATCACGTACCCGTCATACCTTCATAATTTTTTTATGCCGCAAAAAACGTTTTATTAGAAAAGCAACTTGCTCCAAGACACATGCTGCAACCTCTCCTCTCTTCTTCAAATGTAATGTATTGACCATTTCTGATATGAACATTCTTCATATGTGCACTTTTATTCATTTCATATTTAATTGCATTATTTTGATTTTTTTTTAATCTATATTCTCAGGTTAATTTGTATCCAACTAGACAAACCAATGACCTTTACCTGCCAATGTATTGTAACATCAAGAGGCCAGTATTCATCGAGATATCGTGGAGCCCAACTGAGGACCATGAACTTGAACTTTTTAACTCAGCCTATGTCTTTGTCTCGACACAAAAAGGAACTTAAAGGTGGGTTAATGATTTATATCTAAATGTGCAAATAAACTTAAATCTAAACCAAAGCAACTAACTAACTGTGCAATGTTACTGTATTGTTCTGTGTTATCAAAGTGACCTCTGAATCTATTGTTACTCCCTATCCTGCTGTAATTACATAACACCTTTATGGATCTTACAGTGCTACAGGGTTAGTTTCTTTTAGGCAGAATTGAAGAGTGGGCAGTAATCAAGAGGAAAAAAAAAGGTATTTTATTATAAGCAGATTTGTACACCAGCCAAAGAACCAGGAGACCTTAAACTGATAGAAATGTCAATAGAATTTGGTGTGACTAGTTTTCTCCTAATTGCAATCTCTTTCTATCTTTGATATCTAAATAAATACTAATTGGCTGCTTTTGTGTGCAGAATGTAGGATTAAACTAAAAAGAACAATAAATTATAGTTTTATTTTCTAGCAGGTTTGCACATGGCAACGTTAAATTGCTAATATTTCCAATAGAACAGAATTTGGTGTGAAGTAATTAGTCTCCATTTTATAGCTAGAGAATCTCTAAATACAGTAGGTGAGTTGTTTGTTGTAGACCAAATTAAAGACTGGACTGTAAAGAACAGAAGTTATTTGTTTTTTCCGCGCCAATCATAAAATTCTCAATAGAATTTGACATTCATTAACAAAAGTCTTCATTTTATAGCTACATAATCTCTTTAAATACAGTAGGGGAGTTTTTTGTTGTAAGCCGAATTTAAGAGTGGACTGTAAATAACAGAAGCAAATGTTTTTTTTTTCTATATCATATCTATACACCAGCCGTCCACCGAGGAGACGTAAAATTACAAGATTTTGTAATGGACTTTGGTTTAACTTAACAGTTAAAGACAAAGCAGCTGTACAGGTGTTTTACAAGGTCTCTTGTGTTTGTCATCACCGAAGATGTTGCGAAAACATCTATGTAATTTAGATATATTAATCTGCTTCTTATCCGGAGTGGGTTGTGAAGAGCACACACACACACACACACACACACACACACACACACACACAAACAAATAATTTTTTCCAGCAGGTTTGCACATGGTGACGTTAAATTGCTAACATTTTGGATAGACTAATAAGAGTCTCTATTTTATAACTACATAATCTCTCTAAATACAGCAGGTGAGTTGTTTCTTGTTGGCCGAATTCAAGAGTGGACTGTAAAGAACATAAGTAAATGTTTTTTTCTCTATCATATCTAAACACCAATTTAACAGTTCAAGACAAAGCAGCTGCACAGGTACTCTTTCATGTTTGTCATCACAAAATCTAGTGTATAATTATCTGCTTTTTGTATTCTTATTCGGAGTGCTTTGAACACACACACACACACACACACAAAAATCATTTTCAAGCAAGTTTAGTGAAATTGCTGAAATTTTGAATAGAATTTGACGTTTAGTAACAGGAGTCTCCATTTTATAGCTAGAGAATCTCTCTAAATACAGCAGATGACTTGCTTCTTGTGGGCTGAATTAAAGAGTGGACTGTAAAGAACATAAGTCAATGTTTTTTTCTCTATCATATCTAAACACCAATTGCAAGATTTTTTAATGGACTTTGATTAAACAGTTCAAGACAAAGCAGCTGTACAGGTGGAGTTTGTCATCACAAAATCTACTGTATAATTATCTGCTTTTTGTATTCTTATTCAGAGTGGTCTGATCACCACACAACCACAAGAAGTCATCATCATCTATCATTTTCTAGCAGGTTTGCACGAGGCAACATTAAATTGCCAAAATCTTGAATAGAATTTGGCGTAAAGTAGCCAAATAAGAGTCTCCATTTTATAGCTAGAGGATCTCTAAATACAGAAGGTGAGTTGTTTCTTGTAGGCCGAATTCAAGAGTGGACAGTAAAGGACAAAAGTTAATTGTTTTTCCACCCTATCATATCTTTACACCAGCCGTCCACTGAGGAGACCTAAAATTTCAAGATTTTTTAATGGACTTTAGTTTAACTTAACAGTTAAAGACAAAGCAGCCTTGCAGGTGTTTGTATTCTTATTCAGAGTGGTGTGTGAGGAGCACACACACACACACACACACACACACAAAAAAACATTTTCTAGCAGGTTTGCTTGTTGCAATGTAAGATTGATAAAACTTCGAAAAGAATCTGGCTTAAAATAACAGGAGTCTCCATTTTATAGCTACATAATCTCTCTAAATACAGCAGGTGGGTTGTTTCCTGTAGGCCGAATTAAAGAGTGCAATGTAAAGGACACAAGCCAATGTTTTTTTTCCTGATCACATCTAAACACCAGCCGTCCACCGAGAAGACTTAAAATTGCAATATGTTTTTAATGGACTTTGGTTTAACTTAACAGTTCTACCAGATCCTTGCTAGAAAAACGGACAGGTGCTTTACACAGTGTCTTGTGTTTATCTAATTTAGATGTAGTAATGTGCTTTTATATTCTTATTCAGAGTGGTGTGTGAGGAGCGCACACACACACACACACACACACACACACACACAGAGAGATAATTTTCTAGCTGGCTTACACGTGGCGGTTGCACAACCGAAGGGATGCCAAATAGCTAAAATTTCAAACAAAATTCGGTGTAATATGATAGGTTTCCTTATTTTTAGATATATTATCTATTTATTTTTAATATAACTATTTTCAAATGAATAGTGAGCAGCATATTGTCTGTAGATAGAAAGATTTTACTGCTATAAAAACATAAATTTCCCAGCAGATCCAAACACCACTCAGTGTCCGACGTTGCGTTAAATTGCTAAAATAATTAATGGAGTTTGGCACAGTGTGACAGTTTCTTCGCCCCCCGCTAGGACACACTGAAACCAGGCGGCAGCACAGGTGCTTTACACGGACCCTCATGCTTCTTATCACCGCCTCACCTGTCCGCTACGTGTTTAATAAACCACCTGATGTTATTTAACGTTGATTGATGACATAAAACAAACGTACCTGAGCGGCTCGGTGTCGGAGCTAGCTGCTAACTAGCCAAAACCGTTGGCTCAGAACCAGCGATGCCAGTTTCTCCTCCACGAGCAACCCGACATGTCGGTGACATTCACGGGGTAAATCCACAGAGACGTCCTCTCGTGTGTGTCTTTTTATTTTCTGTCCGCTTCTCCGTCCTCAACGCAGAAATGGCGGGTCGGCGCGGAGACAAACGGGGAGTGAAAAACCGCTTCAGCTCTCAAACGTCAATCAGTCAGTCAAAGCTCGAGCGCTCCGGTGAGGACGCCAAACAAAACAACAACAACAACTAAACACCGATTTGTTGCCGTTTCCCCAGAGAGCTACAAGAGCACCGTGTGTGTCCCGAACATTGTGTCCGTCCACCCGTGACTGTGCTGGGGACAGAGCGTGTCCACCGAGCTGACTAATAACCGATATCACCATAAACACAAAAGAAGCATTTCCAGGAACTTTCCAGGAATATGGTCACGTGGTGCAGAGAGCAGCGATTTAAGGTGGTCCAGCACGCACGCACACACACACACACACACACACACACACACACACGCACGCTCTGCCCTCAGGTGAAATATTTAAGTTACAGGTTGAATGCACGTGCACAGAGATGTTTTTGAGACATCCACAGCAGAGTTTACTGGAGGAGTTTTTCAGGGTTACAGAGTGCAAACAGGGCCGCAGCCAGGACTTCACATCCCGGGGTCCCCTCTTACTGTGTGCAGAATTAAAGAGTGGATTGTAATACACTTAAAAAATATTTTATTTATGAATAGATTTATACACCAGCTAACAGATGATGCAATCTTAAATTCCTAGAATTATGAATGGAATTTGGCCAGAGGCACAGGGGAGGTATGACGGGCCCCAGTGCAGTGCACACTGTTATGTTGTGTTCACACCAGGCGCAAATAAAACAACTTGCGCAAGTCAGTTAAATGTAAATCAATGTTAAGATGCTGTAGGAGCAGAAAATGCTGGCTTAAAGCGTTGGCTTAGCCTCTACAGACGCAATTAGACGAGAAATCCGAACTTCAGTGATCAATTTACGCCAGCAAAACCAATCAGCATTGAGATCTTCCGAGGGCTATGACGCCAAGGACATACTGGCGGAAGTTCACTCATTGATTCAGCAATGTTCAAACTTGTGTGAGTAACGTGACGTGAAAATTCATATCCAACGTTATGACAAGCCCTAGTGTGCGATATCGTGCATGCATTGTGGACACATTTTCCCCACAAATATAACATGCTAACATTATTAGCACAAGCCTATGGCATTTTACATTGTATAAATTAGCCTAGCAGCTAGCAGACTTTTCCTCTTCTCATATGAAGCCAGGGAAAACAGCAACATTTAACAAAGGTAACGTGACAAAATTCAGCTCCATTACAGCTCTCAAAGTTCACTGACAAAACAAGTGTATTATACTAAACACGTTTTCCAAACAAATACAACATGCTAACTTTATTAGCACAAGCCTATGGCATTTTACTTTGTATAAATTAGCCTAGCAGCTAGCAGACTTTTCCTCTACTCATATGAAGCCAGGGACAACAGAAACATTTAACAAAGGTAAAGTTACAAAAATAGGCTCCATTACAACTCACAAGGTTCACTGACAAAACAACTGTCTTATACTAAACATGTTTTCCAAACAAATACAACATGCTAACGTTATTAGCACAAGCTTATGGCATTTTACATTGCATAAATTAGCCTAGCGACTAGAAGAGATTTCCTCTGCTCATATGAAACCAGGATAAATCACACACAAGACTTAAAATGCTATTTTTGTGGAGGCTTTATTGTCTTCACAGTTTATTGTTTCTTATCAGTGAAATTAAAGTAAATAAAAGCTTTGTTTCCACTGAGGGAAATGGCTTCAGCTTACAGAGACAGACAGGAGGTCTGCATCACTGTGATGTGTAGTTACATTTCTGGGGAGGTGCACGGCAGGCTATGTCCAGTCTGAGCCAATCGGCCAATCTTCGCACCCTGAACACAAGCAAATTTTTCCTCCCATTTTGAAGTCTTGACTTTAGCATTTCGGCCATTGCCATCTTGGATTTTTGGAGCCAGACCTGACCATACTGGGATGAGAGGATTGAGATTGAGAGAAGTTTTATCTTATACTCCCGACCTGTGAGAGGAAGCAAAGTCCCACAACACATCCAGTTTGCCAGAAATCCAAAAGAAGAAGAAGTATTTTCATTTGTTGCAGACTGACAGGGGGTGCATCCAATCAGTAACGAGATATCGCTGTCCAGTATGTACTATTCCAGACTGATGTTCACCGAATGCTTTGTGGTTTTCTGAAATGTAGTGTTTTGTGAAATGTTTTGCAGCCATGATGATGTTGCGACAGCTGGTTTTGTTTTCACCTTGTGAGACTCTGTGCGTGTCATCGTATGAAAATGTGGGCTTGGATTTTGCAAGATGTTTGAAGACGAGCACAGTCAGAGCAAAGGGCCCAGACGTATGGGGGTAGGAAGTAGGGAAGCAGCCATTGCCCTCCATTTTACGCCCTTGGCCCACATTTGTTTGAAGTTGCGGTTCACTGTATTGCAGCTGAAGTGATCCTATCGCTGGATGGTCTCTAGTTTGTGAAATGTCGTTTTGTTTTCTGAGCTGTTGTTTTTTTTATCTGAAATCTTGTCTTTTGACCTTCAGGGCCACCGTAGCTATGCTCTCAGTAAGTGGTTAAACACTGAACGAGAGGTGACATGGACCACTGTGGTGCTAACAGGCATCCTAATCGAATAGGATTAGCCCAGTTACCAAAAGAAAATGGTTGGCATTTTATGTTTCTGCAAAAATATGTTACATTTGTACGTTTCATTTGTATCATATCATATCATATCATATCATATCATATCATATCAGTGTTTTAAAGTGACGTAGCATATGAGCAGACTGTCAGGAGGTGGAGGGGATGGTGGATGCTGTGGCACTTAGACAAGATGATACAGACCACTGCTCAAGATCAACAAACACAAAATCCGTTGTGATTAATAAGCCGTTGCTGCTTTCTCCAGCGGCTCTTTAGGCACCAAACACAGATGTTTTGTAGCAACCTGTTGCTGTGCATCCAGCAGGGATAGTAAAGTGACAAGTGATTGTTTTTTACCAAGGCGTTGCTGCTTTTCTAGCCGAGATGGTAACACTCAAACCTGGGTACTTTCCTCTACTGACCTTAACCAAGTGGTGTTTGTGCCTAAACTAAACCTCATTAACCACAGCACTGATGAAATATAAATTTTTAGCATATCTGCTTCATTTTAACATGCAAAGGTATCTGATAGTGGTTCCCAACCTGAGGTTCAGGACCCCTACAAGGGACCTGAAAGACAAATAAAATAGATTTACAAGAAAATTAACACAATGGAAGACAGAACAACCAAAATATATTTGTCAGACTTTTTCAATGTTTTGCTGTTTTCTTGTGAATTATCTGATTATTTTATGTCCAAAATGACGGTAGAGGAGACATGCTTTGTCATATCCTGTCTTTTCTAATATTCTGTGTACAGTTGTGTTTTTTGTGCCTTTGTATATTCTTATGTTCTGCTATCATACATTGGTGTTTGAGGATGTTGTGCATAGTCCAATACTCATAGGACAGGTCATTGTAATTTGGTAGTCAGGCTTCTGCTCTTCAGAGTTGATCTCATTTAATTAGTGGCACCAGCTGATTGATTTATCACACCTGGGAGGAATCTGTCTGTGTCTATATCTCATGTCAGTAGCACTGATGTCAAGGACCGAAACATTTGCTGCTGTTTTTACTCACTTTATATTACGTTTTGCACTTTCAGCACCTTTTTTGTGCATGAATGTGCTAAAATAATTAAGTATTTTTGCATTGATCTCAGCCTGTGGACCTTTTTGTGGCTTTGTAGCCTAGTTACATTGGTGTGCGGGTATCTCCTCTACCGAAAACTATCACACATTTATAATTATTTGGCATCTGAGAGCAGCGACGAGGGGTCACAAGGAGACATGGGTTTGTTTTGGGGAACAGAGAAGTAGGGTATCGAGTCAGTAACAGACTGAGATGCAGCTCTGTCTGGGAAAGAAACCCCTGTCTTGATACTGTGATCTACAAAACGCTCAGATCAACCCTCCTCCCTTGTTGTCGAGAAAGTTGGATTAAATTCAGTGGAAGAAAACTAAGGCGTAGCTAACTTGGCTTGACTACGTTGTTTAATAATTTGGTTTCTTTTTTGTGCTGATGGAACTGTATTGCTTATGTAATATTATTAAGATCCAATATTTTAATTGTATCTGTACTATAATCCTCACAATGTTTTGTCCCTGTAACCCTGTCACTAATGTTACAATGACATTAATTCATCCCATCTCCAGCTCATAAAAACTTTGAACATCTCCTGCTCTAAATCTGCCGCATCTCTTAGCTCCGTCCCACAAAGAAATCTGTGTTGTAAATAAAGTCATGCTTGTCTTATTAAGAATAATGAATTAATTAATAGAGCAACCTACTGACAGGCAGTGTGGCTGAAGGATGTTATCAATGGAAGATCCTGCAAAGAGACTTACTATCATGCTCTGCTACATTTCCACTTAACTTAACCTTAAGTCAAGGACGCCCTCTGGTGGCCACAGTGGTTTACCTTTTTAATGTGAGCTTCTCTCAACAGATGGGTCAACAAGGTCTGGTCAGGTGTTGAGGAATCAGGGCAACCTGATGAGAGATGGACTACTGGAACAAGACATAGATGGACTGGGGCAGAGAATATGGACCAGAGGGGCTACATGCAGAAGTTGTTGGTTTGAAACCCAACATCTAAGCTGACAAACAAATGGTGCCAGTGGTGATCGGAGCCCTCTGTGACCCCCAAACTGGGAGAATGGCTCCAGCAGATTCAGTCCAGAAGGGTGCGGTCCTAGGAGCAGATAAGACACTGCAGATCCCTCAAACTCCCAGGACTCTGGTAGAGGACCTGAGCTTGAGGAAGACACACCAATGACCCCACTTCCTGCTGCCTGTTATTTATCTCTGCTGTCGGTCTGATAACCTTGAGGTGTCTCATCCCTCTGCTGGTGGAGGACATGAAGGAGGAAGGTTCGACTCTGTATCTTCTGAGTCTATTAACATTTTTATTGCAGCAACAACAGGTTGGCAACAGTTTGAAATAAATGTCACCAAGTCCCCAAAAGGTGGCAGCACAGACTAACATTTAGAGTGTGTGTGTGTGTGTGTGTGTGTGTGTGTGTGTACTTCTGTCTTTGTGAGGACCCACTCAAGTTTCAAAACCACAGACTGATGACATTTTTTTGGATGGTCAAAGTATTTGGCAATATTTTTGGAAAGAGAAGAGATTTTCAGAGAGTGGGAACATTTTGGGAAGTCTGGACATTTTTTTAAAGAGTTAGTAAAATCTGGAATTTGAGGACATTAAAAAAAAAGTGGTGATATTT